CCCACATTAAAGCACGAAGGAAATGTAATTCATTTGTGTAATATAATCGAAATCATTATAAAATGAATTGACAACACCGTCCAGTGTGACTGAATACACAACGAAAGGACATACAACTTGACAATACAAATCCTTAGCGAAGCATATAAAAAGGGGAAAACAACGATGCCCGGACCTCAGTTGATCGCAAAGAACACCACATTCTCCCGTTTTGACAGAAGAGGCATAGAGACACAAACCTCAGCGGTTCAAGATTTCAAATATTAAGAACATTATTAATAACATATTAATTTAAAACACATTTTAAGTTTAACAATTAAAAATCTTTATGCAGAGGTTTATGTATTATGATCTATGTAATAGTTCCTTCGTATGTTGTTATTGCCTTCTGAAGATGGTCACAACTGAGCGAAACATGTAAAGGCACTATATAAACAAATATATACAGAGTCACACTGGACACTGTTGTCAAATCATTTTATAATAATTATCTATTGTGACGGACCAGAACGAATAAAGTTAAAAATAATCGAAATCCTTCTATTATCTGAAATAATCCACATCTCGTGCATTTCTTTTAAAAGTGTCACTGCCAAGCATCGGGAATAGATTTACCTTGGTTCTAAAACTGAACTGGTTTCATTATATCAGAACCCGCACTTTCACAGCAGGTCTGTGTTCTTCTAAGAAAATCGGACATTTGTTAGGTTCCTTCTTCTTCGTTTGCGTAAATAATTCGGAAAGACTGAATTTATAGGAAATGACATGTGATGACTCGTGCCAACTGTGTGCATGGAGTAGCTTAACCTCGCTCAGTTAATTTTAACTGCGCAGCCACAACGATTCGAGCAAACAGTCGTCCGGCCCGATATCAAACAGCCGCTACCACAGTGCAAAATTACGCACAAGTTACATCAGTGAAGGTTTAGTGCCACACGGTGGTGACTGCCGTGTCTTACTGACCTGCATAAAATCTGGATCGCAAAGCTTGAGCGCAGGAGACGTGAGGCAACGTGGCGGGATTGTGTTTACACGCGTCTGCGCCTTCGGCTTCCATAGAAGGAGAGGAATTTCTCGAGTAGCTGTGCGACTGTTAGCTTCTCAACAAGGACTCCGCTTCTAGGAGTTAGGTGAGCCGAGACAGATACATCCACAGTAAAACGTCTATGTATAAGACAGTCCGTCAATAATGCAACAAATTGTTCCTTTTTCCTCCACTTGTACTTTAATACAACATGTTTCGGCCTTAGATGGCCATCTTCATGTGTCTTAATACATCAGAACTGCTACGCTGCATTAATATGCGGTAAAATCACAAGCTGTAGTCCACTTAACAAAATAAAATAAACACGCACAAGCAAGGGACATGTTACAGACTGCAGACGTGACAGAACAACGGGCTAACGAACATAAAAACATGGAGAGAAACAGACAGTTCTAAACAAATGGATGGTACCCCTTGTGAGGTGGAAGAGAATTTCACAAAAGTGACGAAAATTGAAATTTTAATGAATTTTATTTTATTAAGTGAACTACCACGTGTGATTTTACCGCATATTAATGCAGTATAGCAGTTTTTATATATTAAGGCTCATATTAGGCTTATTTTAGACTCAAGTCATCGTCTGGTATATAGAATACAAAAGACCACAACGTTTCGGAGACTGGATCTGTCTGTCCTCAGGTGGATGGGGCAGGATAAACCTACTCAGTTGGGCCCGTTAGAAACAGCTAATGTCAATCACTGGACGAGACTAGCTCTTTCTAACGGGCCCTACTGAGTAGGTTTATCCTGCCCCATCCACCTGAGGACGGAGACAGATCCAGTCTCCGAAACGTTGTGCTTTTTGTCTTCTATATACCAGACGATGGATAGAGTCCAAAATAAGCCTAAGAGTTCTGTACAGCATACACCATCGTCAGAAACCTTTCAAGTCTATTCACCTGAAGATGGCCATCTAAGGCCGAAACATGTGTTAATAGTGTAAGTGGAAGGAAAAGGAACAATATGTTGCATTACTGACAGACTGTACTATACACAGACGTTTTAATATGGCTTGCAACAGGATGCTTAAATACAGAATCCACAGCAGACTTCCCTGTTGGGGGCAGGACCCAATGCTACTATCACGTCTCTTCCTTTCATACCTCGCTCAGTCAATAAGCTCAACTTATGATTTTAATAAACGAATAAATAACATAATATCGCCTATGGATTCCATGACTTCAAGGCAAATGTTGGGACAGCATCTCAGAATATGCCAAAATCATTCCGTCGTAATTTCCAATAGTTAAATGCTGTAATACGAGTAAAAAAAAAGTAAAGCTATCCCTTTAGCAGGCCATGAAGGCCCATAGGGTTGTGAGACGTTGAGTGTCCCACACTTTCTAGACAATCGGTTCAAAGATGGCGGTAAGGTTGTCAGCCTTACGTGGCTTTACTCCCCAGGAAAATTCCTGGAACTCATTTCTGTTAGAGGTTGAGTAAACCCCAGGGCCATAGTGCGGCTGAAAGGATTAGGTCAACTTAAAAAATCCAATGACCTCATCGGGACTTGAACCCGCGACCTTCCGGCTTGCAGCATAGCCCCTTGACCACTACGCTCCATAAAAATAATACATTCTGGTAGGTCAACTCTCAGCAATAGAACCTGAGTGCCTAATTTAAGTTTTAAAACAGTTTAATTACTATTTTATTGACGAACATGACGTATCAAGAAGATATACGGGCATTTAAACCATTCAAGCCTTGTTTATAATTCCATTTCACAATGCTCCTTGTAATTAGTCCTACAGTAAATAACATTTACATTTAAGATGTTTACGGTTCTCATTGCGAAACCATATATATAGTCTAGCTACTGAAATCGTTGTTAGGACGCGCCATAGCTCAAGCGGTTAGTCGCTGGCTTCCCACCGCGGCAGCCCGGCTTCGATCCCGGGTCTGGTCAAGTGGGATTTGTGGCGGATAAAGTGACACTGGGGCAGGTTTTCTAAGAGTACTTCGGTTTCCCCTGCCAATCCTCATTCCACCAATTGCTCCACAATCACACTCACCTATCATCTGGGGCTGGTACAATAGGCCAGAAGTGGCCGCAGTAAAAGGGATTTAGTCTCACCCCACTAGCATTACAAAAATTAAATCGTTCTTAAATAACCCACAACTCATGGCGGTATCAATTCTTTGATCTCTAAGGATGTGACGTAGTGCAGTTTTGTACATAAGTACCCAAATTTTAGAGGAAACTGCTGAATCTTCCACCCTGAAGATGTAGGCAGTGTTTTCCTGCGAAACGCTGGTAACCATTCACCAATTAGACGTCACATGTCAAAAGTCCGTACTACTGGCACTCGCTACAGCGAGGGAATCTTGTACTGCTATCCTACAGCTTGGCGGGGTGACAGCCATTCACTACGAACACAGCTCTGCAACCATGTTGCAATACTCCATATTTACCGGCTGCAAACAACAGGGCCGCGCGGTCTAGGGCGTGAACTGTCTTCGTTCGCTCGAACACTGGGACCGTGGGTTCGAAGCCCACTCGAGGCAGGAATGTCTGTGTGTGCGTTTATTCTGTGCTTGTGCTGTGTTCTGGGCAGGTAGCGGCCTTGCAACGGACTGATCCCCCGTCCAAGGTGTCCTACCGACCGTGTAAAAAAATCAAGAAACTGAAAAAGCTGCCAAGGTCTAACAAAAGGGCTGTACAGCCATAGATAGCTAGGAGTATATAGATATAGAATGGAGAACTGAACCCTTTATCCAACAAATATAGTGGCAAAATATATTTTAGACCTTCAATATCCGTAATGGATGTACCTCAACATAAGTTTCTATCAAATATAAAGGTTCATTCGCTTAGGCAATGAAATGAAGCACTGTCCTAGTTTATCTTTTTGGCATAAACTGATGTCCCTTGATGTTCTGGTAGCGTTAATCCACATAGCAAGCACAATACGTACGGCCGGGAATATGACGGAGAGGTGGTCCTCGTAATGCCCAAGGAATGCCTATATCTTACACAGATGCCAAAATTTCCCTTGATACTTGTCGATATGTGGCCCAACTCTACGCATTAGGTTCTAACCCTTTCACTGATATAACGAACTGAACTTATAAAATTCAAAATAATTTTAAATGTGATATTTTCTTTGTAACTCTGTACACGTTACAGAAGTTTCCTTGTAAATGCAGTAACTTATTTTAGTCATTCCACGCAGTTTCACCTAGTTCTGAAATAAAGAAAGACCGTCACCTTAGCAATTCCTTCCTCTTCACCATTCATTATGACACCCCTATCTCATGAAGACTACGTAACACGTGGAATTCAGCACAGTCATGAAATAACATACGTCCCAACAATCCTCATGTTCTTATTCACACCAACTACACTTTTCTGCTTTTGTTTTACGATGTGCCATTTAAAACCGTATCCAGACTGTCCGTCTACAATGCCACGTTTGGACAGACACCGCAATGAGATATTAACGCTCGTCTAATCACGCCTCGAGCCCCATATGTGCAGTTGGCAGCTTTATGATTTGTATCACGTGACATGCATCCATAATACTGCTCATTATTTCAATAAATGCTGCATTTCAAATACAATATATGAAGCAGACGAATGGACATTTCAAGAAATCGTGTAAAAATGATTTCAGGGAACGGGAAAAAAATGAAGACGATACCGAACTACAGAATATCTTACGGCCTGTATCTTTCAAAATATTGCACTGGTTTCCTTACTGGTTGTGCATACACTCTGGCAAATTAATCGGGTAATTATGAAGCAAAGCTGCAATCAACACTCCAATTTTTCTCTTGTTCTTGTGGTCTCTGGAATCAGAGACTGTTCTGTGTTCAAGATCACCCTCCACTCATAGTAAAAGGATAAGAATTTCAATATAAAAGAAACGGATGTCTTCCAAATTCGAAAGGCCTTCCTATTAATATAAAGGGACCATAAATCTATAGATACGAAGAGAGAGCCACGGTTACTTACCGATTGCCTGCATTCACTGGTCTTATCTGCGGGTCATCGGGAGCGGCGTGTTGCTACTCTGCAAAACAAAGAAACGATTGTAACTAAATCAAAGTGACCCAAGTCTGTGAACTTTGCTACTGCAACAGTAACTTTCCACGCCTCCAATTTTATCGATATCCAAATCAGAAGCACAGGAGAGCAATGCAAGGCCAATGAATAATCACAATCTTCTCGTAATGCTCTTCAAATTCGATTGTTCCTCATTAAAACGATAAATGTTACATGTTTATATTATTTCACTAGAAAAAGGTTCTAATTATCTTTCCCCGCCTGAAGAGCACTCAAAGTATCAATGCATACGAACAAAGGCTTCAACAAGGAGCTTATTTACTTACAAAGTGACGTTCGAACATCGTATCAGGCGCGTTCGGTACTTAAGAAGTATTGTAACAGATAAAAGTTCAAAGCGACAAAAGCAAGAAGATAGGACTGAGTTGAAGTTGCTGGCGTCCATGAATTAAAGGCTTGCCGGCATTTCCGCAACCCGCTAATGGTGTGCAAAACGTTCAAAGTTCATAGAGAGGTTGGGGCACACCGTAAAAGCATTCCGAGAGGAAAAGTTACAGGAAAAACTTACTGTATTACATGAACGTTGCTTCCATATGCAGCAATGTTGCAGTGGACTAGAATAAGGTTAGAATTACAAAACTTAGCAATTTTGGGGCTAAATGTCTATTTCCACTCTGAACTTTCAAGCTAATGAATGTGGATTCCCAACGTAATAGATATACTAAACTAAAAACTAAACTCCGTGGCTTAAGTCCGCAAGCGAACTATACCCACCGACCGACCGATTGAGGAGCTATTTCAAGGAAATAGCGGCTCCGGTCTAGAAAACCGAAATTAACGGCCGTGGGGATTCGTTGTGCTGACCACGTGGCACCTTCCATCCGCTAAAGTTCGCATTAACTTCGCTGGCAAGTGCCAGTCACTCGGTCGGTAATAGGTATACAGCTCAGTGCAAACGCTTAATCAACTCTTTGTACATTTCAAGAAAGTCTATATGTCAGCGTAGAAAAACGTATTGCAAAATATCACACAATTATCTTCAGGTCGATAATACACATGCATTGACTTTACTCGCAAATGCATATTACGTTTTTTAGAGCTACTATCTTCTTCATAATGATGAGTTCATATATACCGAACTAAACTAAGCTACCTGCGAGACAACCAACTCGGGCTTACAAGCAATACAGCGCTATCGCTGATTTACAAAATTTACAGTTTACCGTCACACACGCACTAGGATTCCCAGTCTTCACTAGCCGTATCCTGGCAACGGAATTAAACAGTTTCACTGTCACTTCAAATCACACATGGTCTAGTGACACTGCCTTTGGGTGAGTAGTGCACATGCATTCTATTTCAAGCAACACATCAGCCTTGCAAGTACGAGATTTATGACAAAAATCGTATTTCGTAACAAGGTTGGACAAATAAATTAGGCATAATGTCACCGGAGGCTGGGAACAGCTTTCGTAATTTCTCGTCCTTGTTCACTTTGAACGAAGTACTACATGGTCAGTGAATTTTCCTTTACATTCTACGAAACAGTGAGATTCATTCTAAGTGTGTAAGGGAGGCACGTGGCCAAAATGATTCAGAAACTTCCAGACTTCACTCTGTCTCTCTGATTTTACCCATGGTACTTTAATTTTAGCTTCTGACAAGCAAGAGTATACGTACTCTTCCGAATCCTCTTTTCCAGCCCGTCTGATGCAGAAATGTGATATCTTCTGTGGAAAAATAGAGCATCTGTTCAGTCGATCTGGTATGTATCGTCACGCGTAGGGGTTCTAGATTGGATGACTGGATTTACTGCACCTTACACATTCGCATAGTTTGGGACTACATATAATATATCTTTGTCGCTATTCTACACACCGTACAGTTCACCGTTACACACATCAGGGTTCTCAGTCTTCACTAGTCGTATCCTGGCAACGGATTTATCAGTCTCGTTGTCACTTCAAATCACACAAATGGTCTTCTTTTCACGTCCTAATTCCCTTTCTTGACCTTATTCTGCAACTGCCAATTTCGAAGACTCGACTCAATTCAATTCCTCTGCTCGCGCAAGGTCATATCCCGAAAGGCTAGCGTTCAGAAACTCGTCTCTTCACTTCACTGCTACCTGGGCGTAATCTTCCATAAGAGGATTACGTGGAGACTTCACATAGAAATGATTGAAGCCAAGGCCTTCAGAACATTTATTAGAATCTACTCCCTATTCAAACGTGAGCGTTTAAACGCAAACACTAAACTATCCCTCCATAAGGCACTGATCAGATCAGTAATGACTTACGCTTGTCCCGCCTGGGAATTAGCGGCAGACACCTACCTCCTAAAATTGCAGCGCATGCAAAACAGGGTCTTGCGCATCACTGGAAATTTTCCAAAATGCACACCAGTCCGCGACTTGCACACAGCTTTCAACTTTCCGTATGTATACGACTATATAACAAAATTGTGCAGACGACAAGCAGAAGTCATACAAAATCATGAGAATGAACATGTTCGTGGTATAGGACAAGGTGAAGCCAGACATAGAAAATATAAGAGGCTTAAACTTGGCAGTGGTCAAGCTTATGGCCGTTCAAATGACTAAGTTTCCGTTGTAGCATAAGAGCTGTAAGTTAGGCATGCTCTGCTCTGTAAAGCCTGTACTGAGAGAGGGATTGTGTGTAAAGCAAAAGGAAGAGTTTTCGATAACACATTATATGTGCGAAATATACACTTGACGAAAGGTCAAGTGTATTCATAAGAGACAACCCCATCTTCTCGTCAGAGAGGGTGTTACATAAGGACTATTACCGCAAGAGTTCAGTTGGAAAAAAAAAATCTCTGGTCGTGGGCATCAAGGGGCCTGATGCCAAAACGAACTGACTGGCGGCAAACCGCCAGTCGTAAAGTAACTCTCTCTCTCTCTCTCTCTCTCTCTCTATACTAGGTCGGAGTCAAAGTCACATTGCGACTGACAGTCAGTCAGTCAGTAAGTCTTGGTGTCGAGCCCCAAATATTAATTATTATCGTTTGACAGTTACGGTCTTGTTTCTGTGAGGCGCCTTCTCTCTCTCTCTCTTCTCTTTTGCATATGCTGCTGGCCCTTGCCAGCGCAGTCTTTCTCGGGTCCGAGTCCCTTGGGACTCGCGACCATATTTTACTGTCTCAGAATTGAGACTTGAGAGAGAGACAGAGAGAGAAAGAGAGAGGCGCACACACACTTACGGATCATCTTCAGAGGGAACATCAATACTTATTCGGAAACCACCATCACAATAGGTGTTCTGATTGCTAAATTACATACACACATAATGCCTGGAATACACAATGTACATAATATTCAACTTTTCACAATCACAGCAGCCTTCCTGGTATTAAAACTTCTAAAGTGTTTAAAAAATTTTATACTAGGTCGCTCTTCTGTGTCCTTTTATAGACCCTCGACACGGACCACACAGAAAATATAGCTTTTATTGTTAAAGAGGCGTGTTGACTGGTCCGTTACCTACTAATGGACGTCTTTCTGTAGCATGGCTACACTTCGTGGGAATGTGTTTACCAAGTCGTTGCCTAGCAATGGCTATACACGTCATAACATCGAACCAACGTTAGCAACCGCTTTCTCACCTGCTATAGTTGGTATTCACTTCCGTTAAGTCAATGCTGCTGGCTAAACATGGAACAATCTGCTCACATTTACCTTATCTCTTACGTCAGCCCACAGATGTGGTACGGGAAATAAAACCAGACATTAACATAAATTCTGCCAAACATGTTATTAGAGACCATCAAAGTGACCTCACGGACTGAAGGGCCCAACAAGTTTGCATGTCGGCTTTGCTCTGTGTTGTGCAGGTAGAGACCTCGGGTGCCCAAGGATGTACAGAAGACTCATCACTTCAGAAAACGCTCAGATAAGGAAAGTTATCAGGAAAAATTCAAACATATAACACCAACGCAAAAGTGACGTTAACAGTACGGTAAAGAGGTCAAGGCAGTGAATAACAATAGATAAAACGTCACCGAAAGGGTTCTGGATGCTGCACGCATTACAAAACTAAATCAACGAAATGCAGACATATAGAAAAATTAATGCATCAAACCTTATCCGTAAAATTGGAGGAAACAAAAAGAGACGACCACATTACATGTAAAACACAGATGAACCGAATACCAATATAGTTAACAGAATATATACGACTACAGTGCACTGGAGCGAAGAATTTTGAGTGCCCTGAGACAAAAACGAAGACTAACAGCATCTGAAGGCTTCAAAAACAAGAAATCAAACTTCCAGTTCACCATAATGATGAAAACCAATTTATCTTTGCTAACGGATCAGTGGGCTATTATCGAAAATGGGCATTTCCCATACTGGGGGGCCCTGTTTCCATTCCGACTGTCTGCACCCACAAATTCCCACTGGTCCCTGGTTAATGTTCACTGTGAAATCAACATTTTGCATACAAGAACTGAAATGAAAAAGCAGTTTTCGCGCACACTGCCATTAGTAGATGTGAGAAGCTCCCAACTCAGGCCACAGCGTGTTTCAGTGTTTTCTTTTCGTCAAAACAGGCTATAAATCACTTGGAGTAGGATACAAAACCGAAAATAAGGATATCAAAAGCTGCTTAATATGACGAGCCATTCTCACTTGCCTAATTTACCGGAAAATATGATCCAGCACTAATTACAAGGATGTACGTACCGAAATTTTGAAAGTTCTATGAACATCCGAACCACATTCAAATTCTACATTAATCTTCTCTACATAATAAACAGCATCGGGACATGAAGTATTCATGCAACCTACAGTCTTGTAGTGACACTTCTCTGGGGCTCAGAAACTGAGATTTTGCAAGGGATTGGCAGATGGTTAGCACGACATCCGCCCAATGGACGATAAAACTGAAATTACTAAATATTATTTTCTTTCAGAATGCACTATGCCTTTAGTCTTCATAAACATGCAGCCTTACTAACTGTTCCTTATTCATAAAAAAACTCCGT